TCTAGGAGAGACTAGAGGATTAACATCTTTAACTTCCAATAGATGACATTTCTGATTTTGAAGTCCAAAATTTAACAACTGCAGATGCGAAGTTTTATATTCTTCTTAGTCATAATGTACAGCATTAGAAAAGGCAAGTAAGTATCACATTGAAAATGGAGTCATACAAAAACAACATAGGGTTTAAAAATATTTCTTAGCATAATATACAGGGCATTTCAAGAAGCTTTTGCAAGAATTCAATTAAAAATAAGATTTTGAAGCGAAATATATTTACATCCATGCATGGCTTTTCCATAATATATATTTTCTATGAAATTTAAAAGGCTTATCATATCATCCCAGATCCCATCATGTAGGGTTGGTGCTGTTGCATTGCAGGTAAAGTTGCTGCCTGCAGTGCCAGCATCCTATGTGGGTGCTGGTTCAGGTTCTGACTACTCTACTTCTGATCCAGCTCTCTGCTAAGGCCTAGGAAATCAGTGGGAGATTACCCAAATCCTTGGGTTGGGGCACCTGCATAGGATACCCAGAAGAAGCTCCTGGCTCCTGGCTTCATATCAGCCCAGCTCTGGTTGTTGCGGACATATGGGGAATGAACCAGCAGATGGAAAACCTCTCTCTTGTCTTTCTGTCTCTCTGTATCTGTCTCTGTCTCTCTGTCTCTCTCTCTCTCTTCCCATTTCTCTCCCTCTCTTTCTCTCTCTCTGCCTCTGCCTCTCTGCTTTGACTTTCAAATAAATAATCTTTAAAAAAAGAAAATATAATATTGCCTTTTTCCAATATGTCAACATTCTATGTGTACAATAGTTACCGGATTTAATAATATTTTTGTTTAGCAATGCATTTCCATTCCCTTTAATAAGCAATGATTACTTCAATTTTTCCTGTGTCAGACACATCCAGGGGACAATGCAGGGAAACTGACTGGATTCTCTCTTTGACCTTTCAGTCATTTAGTCTTGCTCATTCCCATTAACAGTTCATGATGTGTTGGAGACAAAGGCCAGCTCTCCCAAAGCCCACCTCATTCTCTACTTTTTGTCTGAATTCTCGAATTCTCTTGGGTTGCCTTTGACTATTTTCTTGAATATCCTTGAAACAGGAATACAAGTCTTTATGGGTTCAAATTGAACATGTTTGACTCGAAGACAATGTGTATATGCAATATGAGCATCACACACTGCACTGCTACAAGAGTTGGTCTGCCAGGAACAGACACAGACATCTTCATATGATGTTCCTTCCAGTGTTTTTTATGGCAACAATCAATCAACAAATAAGTAGGAAAAAGTTGGAGGTCAAAATTCAAATCTCCACCAGAAAAAAACAGATAGGTCGTTGTTGGTGCACCCAAAGAGATTAGTCTCCAAACTGGATCCTGTAGTCCAGTGTCTAAAAGATAAGTGATCTTTTTTTTTCTTTTTCTTCCTTTTTTCCATTGGTTCACCCCTCAGTGGCCACTATGGCCGGTGTGGTGTGGCCGGCACACTGTGCCGTTCTGAAGCCAGGAGCCAGGTGCTTCTCCTGGTCTCCCATGTGGGTGCAGGGCCCAAGCACTTGGGCCATCCTCCACTGCACTCCTGGGCCACAGCAGAGAGCTGGACTGGAAGAGGAACAACTGGGACAGAATCCAGCGCCCTGACCGGGACTAGAACCTGGAGTGCCAGCACCGCAGGTGGAGGATTAGCCTATTGAGCTGCGGTGCCAGCTGATAAGTGATCTCTTAAAACCATCACAAACAGAAAAAGATCTCCATGCTTAAAATCCACCAACAGTCTCATTTTATGTTTCTTATTTATTTATTTGAAAAAATAAAAATAGATTTCAATTAAAATAAAAATTAAAATATATACATTATATATCCATTTATTATTCACAATAGATATTTTGAAAAGTCTGAGGTGAATGGAATTCAAAGGTAAGTTTATTTTGGTGCAAGATAATTTGAAATTCATGAATATGAAGGATTTTTTTTTTTTGACAGGCAGAGTGGACAGTGAGAGAGAGAGGCAGAGAGAAAGGTCTTCCTTTGCCGTTGGTTCACCCTCCAATGGCCGCCGCGGTGCAGTCATTAAGGGATCTTTAAAAACTCATTGAAATGTGTATTACAAAAATCTGTATATGGATTCAAGTGTTTTTGAACTAAAATAATCTTTTTTCTTTTTTGTTTTTTTGACAGGCAGAGTTAGAGAGAGAGAGAGAGAGAGAGAGAGAGAGAGAAACATCTTCCTTCCATTGGTTCACCCCCCAATTGGCTGCTACACCTGGCGCTGCACCGTTCTGAAGCCATGACCCAGGTGCTTCCTCCTGGTCTCCCATGCAGGTGCAGGGCCCAGGGACTTGGGCCATCCTCCACTGCACTCCCGGGCCACAGCAGAGAGCTGGACTGGAAGAGGGGCAACCAGGACAGAACTGGTGCCCCACCTGGGACTAGAACCCGGGGTGCTGGCACTGCAGGCTGAGGATTAGCCTGGTGAGCAGCAGTGCCAGCCAATACATTGTTATTAACTACAGTAACCATGTTTCATTTTTTTCTTCATCTTCCAGCTCAGTCCTCCTTTATCCTTTGATTATACACCTGCATTTTTCTTCCCTTCATTAAAATATCTAAATTTGTTGTTCACTTCTTCAGCTTAAATGATCTTTTCCCAGCTTCCTTATTGAAATTTACTCTCCATTATTCTGTTTTAAGATCATGTATTATCCATTACTGAGGACTTTCAACTATTCTGGCCAAAGCACTGGGACATTATTTTATTTTTTACCCAGAGCACTTCAAAAACTTGAACTATTTTTACACAAAGATATAATTTTTGCCACCTTCTTCAAATGAGGACAGAATTTTGCCATTCATGCCACTCCAGAATGTCATGAGAATTAATAGAAAAATAAGATATATGACTCTCATTAGTATCGACACAAATTGGCAATGAACAGGCAGCCCTGTAAAGAAAATCACCTGACAATCAGAGCAGTTCTATTTGATATGAAAGGTTGATATCAAAGCTGACACTTCAATGTTGTCAGTAGTTTCTGTGGAAATGTCTAACTTGGGCTGTCTGGGAAATTGTATCTGCTTCTCTAAAAGAAATTAAGATGTGATATATTTTAAGGGGCCATAGTCCTTTTGCAGACTTGGAAAGGGTAGTTGATGGGCTGTGATTAACTGGGCACACAAGTGTAAGGAATGGGCCTCTAATGACTGAAGCACTAATCTACCAATCAGTACATATGGGTTTCAGACCTGGAGACACATGTAACCTGTGATGGCTGCAGGTACATGGAATTAGGGATACTGGGAGACAGACACGGCTTGCACACACAGGTGTTAGAAACACCTGAAGGAACACTGAGGATGCAGTAAATGAGTGCTCAGAAATAATTTATAGTCAAATGATTACAATAGAATAAAATACTCAAAATCATCATTACAGCTTCCTTGTTAAGAATTATAAAGAAAAAAATCAAAAAGTATTGAAGAAAAGCAAGAAAAAAGAAAACAGCAGACATCTATGAAGTGCTATAAAATGTATCACAAATAAACAAGGACACAATGAATTTTTTTAAGAAAAATATTAACAAAGTTAATAAACCATTAGGAAAAACGATTAAGGAACCCATGGGGAAAGTAACACAAATAACCAGTTTAGGAATTAAAACAGAATCATTCCTTTGTAGGTTATAATTTTGACCAAGGCGCTAGGAGAAAGGTATGAAATTCTTAGAAGTAACATTTCACTACAGGAATCAAAATCTTCCCTATATTGAAAATCAAATTTGCAAAAAACAAATATAACATAAAGTAGGAAAACTATATAAATCAGGCAAGTTAAGTCATACTTTGAAAATTCCAAACAAACAATCAAGAAAAAAGTCACAGAATCAAAATTTCAGATCCAGAATTACAGAATACTCCAAAATTTTAGAGAAGGCAAAACAAATCTACGTTTCACCCAAAGTGCAACTAAGTAGAGCTTTTTTCTTGGTTTCTTTTGGAACACCTGCATTGCAGTGAGGATGATGCAAGCAGACCAGGACTTGAAATAAACATTAAGTTTTATTAAAAGCATCCCTTTCATAAACATAGCTACAGATATCTGCAGCAAAGTACTAATATAATAAATGAAATAACATAAAAATATATCAATAGCAAGCAGGGCTTAATAAAACACACAAGAGTGGTAAAGATTCTCAGACAAGTCATCCAAGTAGGTAAAAAACACAAGAAGAAAATCACATGGTCATTTAGATTACATGTTGGAAGGCTTTAATAAAGTTCAGCATCTAGTAAAAAAGAAAACTGCCTGCAGAACAAAAAAGCCAGTGACTTCGTTACTCCGATCAAGAGTGAAATGAACCTACAGCCAACAACACAAGTAATACAGCATCGTTGAAGCTTTTTCTCCCTGGGAGTAAACTTAGACCACGATTCCTGCACTCTCTCGAGCTTTCTACTTCAAGGGCAGTAAGGGAAATAAAACAGCAAGAAGAAATTATATGGTGTAAAGATCAATTTATAAGTTGTAAAATGTGAATATATTGGATGAGGTTTATATACAGAGATAATCCAGGAAAAACTAAAAACAAATACAATTGATAAATGAGATTACTGGAAAGATTGTGTGTGTGTGTGTGTGTGTGTGTGTGTGTTTCTACTAAGTACCAGGAAGAAGCAAATAGAAAATAATATTAAAGGACAACAGGCAAACTAGAAATAAATGTGCAAGTAAAATTGGAAAAAAGGATTAAATTACGCGGCGGCCATTGGAGGGTGAACCAACGGCAAAGGAAGACCTTTCTCTCTGTCTCTCTCTCTCACTGTCCACTCTGCCTGTCAAAAAAATAAAAATAAAAAAAAAAATAAATAAAAAAAAACATTCTTTAAATCAATATTAAAAATAGCATAGAAGATTCATTAGACGAAAAGTGTCACATATATGATAAAAAAACAAAGCCTCTTAAGTCAATAAACAGCCATTAAATTGTAGCTGACCTGAATTACGTTCAACCCCCAAGCAGAAGCCACTCAGGAAGATGCAGGAGGGATCCAGCGGCTGGCAGGACCAGAGAAGAGAAGAGAGAATTCCCCCGCGCCCACCGCAGGGAGGTGGAGCTCAGGAGGTCCTAGTGTCAGAAATGAATCCAAACTCCCTCTTGTTTTCCCATCCAGAAAGACCTGAAGTTATACGTCAATGCTATGGAGGATGTTGATTGGCTGCGTCTTTTATGGCGTGATGCTGCCCCTGGTATGCAAGCTATGCAATCAGATCACGCGGGATGTTGACGCCATAGTAGTCCTCCCGTTCCACTGAGGAGAGAAGCCCCAGGAGGGGGCTCCAGCACTCGGAACACTGCGGGTAGCCGGCGTCCGCTGCTCTGTCTGTTCTCTGCCCCTCTTCCATCGCAGGACACCACCCCCTCGGACCCGGGACATGGTGAGTGTGTGGGGCCAGGTCTGAGGAGCAGGGAAGGGGAGCAGGTGGACGTTGCTAGAAAAGGCTGGTGGGATGCGGGCTTCCCAGAGGTCGGATCTGGGGTCTATGGGCCCTCTGTTGCTGGCATGACTCTTCCCTCTGTGTGGGGCCAGTGTGGAGGCTGGACTGCAGGATGGTGGCTGGACTGGCACCAGGGACTCCAGGCATCCTGTCCCATTCCTACTCACAGCTCAACCCTGCCCTCAGTGTGGGGGCTGGTCTGCAGGATGGGGGCTGGACTGGCACCAGGGACTCCAGGCATCCTGTCCCATTCCTGCTCACAGCTCGACCCTGCCCTCAGTGTGGGGCCAGGATGGGGGCTGGACTGGCACCCGGGACTCCAGGCTTCCTGTCCTGTTCCTGCTCACAGCACGACCCTTCCCTCAGTGTGGAGCCAGCATGGGGGATGGACTGCAGTATGGGGGCTGGACTGGCACCCGCGATTCCATGCATCCTGTCCCGTTTCTGCTCAGAGCCATCACACAGGCACAGACCAGGTAAGTTAACCAAAGCAGCTTTATTTCAGTCAGGGTTTTAGTCTAGGTTTTAGGGGGTCACGAGGACGTTGTATTTTGCTACCTCGATGTCATCTTAGCATTTATATGTTCGCTAGACAGACTGCGATGTGTCTCTGTACTTTAAAGTTGGAAATTTTAGGTAGCCACATTTACGAGTGTTTTAAAACTGTTTCTGTTCCACCATGTCTTTCCAACCACAAAGATATCAATCTAGATTCCTAAGTTAATTTTAATTTTGATGTAGGGTGATTTTTTCAAGGTTATTGGAGTATAATTGACAAACAAAATTTGTATGTATTCGAGGCCTGCAACCTGATATTTTGATTTGTAAGGGGACTTTTTTAAAAGTTTATGGAAAATTCCCTTTATCTTTTAATCTAGTTTTTCACAAATCTTTTGGAGTTCCCTTGTGCATGTACATTACGAAATGACTAGGACAATCAACCTAACAAGTCCTTCACCTTACACAGTTTTTAAAAGAATAATTAATATCTTTACAAGTGTGAGTACCCAGTAGTGTATTCATTTTGATTCTGTGCTGTGTATTATGTCTCAAGGAGTTAATTTATCTCCTAGTGATAAATGGGTGTCATTCAACTAATATCTTACCATTTCCTTCACTCTCAGCCCCTGGAAACCACATTACTATGATCTGTTCTTAAATTTGATTTTATTAGGTTCCACAAATAAAGGAAAGTGTGAGAGATTTATCTTTCTGTGTCATACTTCAATCAACTTAATGTCCACATTCATACTTTTGAATCCAGGTTATGACAAAATGTCAGGATTTCTTTTTTAAGGTTGAATGTGATTCGTGTGTGTGTGTGTGTGTGTGAGTGTGTGGCATTTTCTCTATTCATTTTGATAGACAATGTATTTATATATCTAGTTCTTGTGAATAGTGCTCACATGAACATGGATGTGCAGATGTGTCTTTGAGATATTAATTTTATTTAGATACGCATCCAATTATGGGACCGCTTTATCATTTATTAGTTCCATTTTTAATTTTGTTTGAGGCAACTCTGTAGTGTATTTCATAGTAAGTATATCAGGTTACATTCCCAAAAAGAATTTATCTGTTCCCTTTCTCCAATTCTGGTTCAGTACTTATAGTTTCTACTTTTTGATAATAGCCATTTTTACATATGTGAGATCATAACCATTGTGCTCTTGATTGGCAGTGCTGAGAGCCCCTTTTCAAATACCTATTGGCTGCTTGTGGAAAAACTGATCAGATCCTTTGTCCATTTTTATTACAGTATTTCCCTTTGAGTTGTGTAAGTTCTTTGTATTATTCCTTTAATCATACTATGGTTTACCAATATTTTCTCCTATTCCTTGCTTTCACTTTTCAGCTTTCCCTTTAGTACACATAGTTTTTTTTTTATGTTTTTTGCAGTCCTACTTCTTTATTTTTCTTTTGTCACCTGTGCTTTTGATGTTATTCCTAAATCATTGTTGAGGTCTGTCACAACCATAGTTGTTGTAGGCATTTGTGAAGTGAACCAGTGGGTGAGAGTGCTCTCTCTCCCTCTCTGTTTCTCTATGTGTCTCTTTTTCCTTAAAACTAATTAATTACATAATTTTTAAAAACTACTTGGAGGGCTCCTCTCTTTTTGGAGAAGTTAGATGATAGATGAGTTGGATGGTAGGGGTGAGTTCCTAGTGTTACATAGCATGGTTGTGTGACTAGAATAGTAATACTATTAGTATTACTAATACTAATAGTATTACTAGAATAGTAATCTATTCTATATTTTATAAACAAACAGGAAAGGTGCTCAAAGGCTGTGATCATGAAGTGTAATTTCAGAGAAGGGAAAATGTTGTTTACCATGCTTTGTTCAGTACACATTGCATGCATCAATTAAAATCTCACACTGTAGCCAATAGGTATATATAATTATTGTCAATAAAAATAAACTCAAAACATCATCTTTCTTGGTGTATAAGGTTAAGGGGTATTAAATTAGTATTGCAACTAATAATATGATCTTTGGAAGGAGTTTATTAAGACAAACATAATCTGGAAATAAGTATATTGGCATTTTGTCATTCTAAGTGGAGTGATTAGGAGGCAATACTTTATCTTAAATTGATGATTAATACATCTTTTAAATTGTTTCATGTAACAAAAATGAAATATTTCTTTAAGTATGTATTCAATTAATTTGAATTAGGGCAGTATCAAACAAGAAATATGGAATTAAATCACTTGTTGAAGTATGAAACAAGACCAAAAATCCACTCAACATGCATTAAAGATCTAAATCTATGCCACGACACCATCAAATTAATCAAGAGCATAGGGGAAACTCTTCAAGATATTTGGGCTATTTAGATCCTTTGACATTCCATATGAATTTTCTGTATAGTTTTTTTAATTTTTTTTCTAAAAATAACTATTAGGATACTATAAAGAATGATTTGAATCTAAGGGTCACTAGGATCATATTGATTTCTTATATTATATATTTTATAATCCATGAACACAGGATATATTTACATTTATTTGTGTGACATAGTTTTCAACATTTAGATATTTTATTTCCTTGGTTAAGTTTATTTCTAAGTATTTTATTCCCTTTTATGATTTTGAAATTGAATTGTTATCTTTATTTCCTTTTGATTTATTTACTGATTTTTACATTTTATTTATATAAGGGGAATAAATTTTGTGCATTTCATATATTCAGATTTTGGAGCATAGTGATCTACCCTAACCTCTCTCCTGCCCAGGCTCATAGCTTCCTCCCTCCTTCATTATTAGTTTAATTTTTACAAGGACATACTTTCAGTTTATGTTATAATCACAAGCTTAACCCTCCACAAAGTAAAGGATTCAACAAATAATAGAAGGAAACTTACTGTTCCTGAAGAGTATAGAAAGAGCTATAAACAATAATCTGAATTGTCAATTTCACTCCTATACATAACATTTTTGGACGCTATATATTAGTAACCACATATCATGGAAATCAGGATGTTTGTATTTTTTGAGGCTGGCTTATCCCACTGATCATAATGGTTTCCAGGTGCATCCATTTTATGGCAAAAGACATTATTTCTTTATTCAGTTATCAGTTGATTGGCATCTGGGTTGATTCCAATCTTAGTTATTGTGAACTGAGCTGCAGTAAACATGGGGACACAGATAACTCAATTATGCTGATTTCACTTCCTTTGCATACATTCCCAGGAGTGGGATGGCTAGGTCATATTGTAGATCTTTCTCAGATTGTAGAGGAATCTCTACACTGTCTCTAGTGATGGTTGTATAAATTATATTGCCACCAAATGTGTATTAGGGAACTTTTCTCCTCACATTCTCACTAACATTTATTGTTTGTGTGTGTGTGTGTGTGTGTGTGTGATTCTAACTGAGGTGAAGTGAAACCACGTTGTGTTTTTTTTTTTTTTTTTGGACAGGCAGAGTGGACAGTGAAGAGAGAGACAGACAGAGAAAGGTCTTCCTTTGCTGTTGGTTCACCCTCCAATGGTCGCTGCAGCCAGCACGCTGTGGCTGGCGCACTGTGCTAATCCGAAGGCAGGAGCCAGGTGCTTCTCCTGGTCTCCCATGGGGTGCAGGGCCCAAGCACTTGGGCCATCCTCCACTGCACTTCTGGGCCACAGCAGAGAGCTGGCCTGGAAGAAGGGCAACCGGGACAGAATCCGGAGCCCCGACCAGGCCTAGAACCCGGTGTGCCAGCGCTACAAGGCAGAGGATTAACCTATTGAGCCACAGTGCTGGCAACTCCTTTCCTTTCAAATGTGGGACTCAATAAGTCCAATTAGACAGAACTGTGTGTACTAGTACATGTAATACCTCAGGTGTGCTATTATTTTGGGGAAAGTGGAAGGGAACATCTGGGATCCCTCTGCAGAGAGAAGAGAGCCCCAGTACTGGTCCCTTTGCTGATTGGATTAGGGATTGCAGACTCCACTGCAGTTGGAACATTGACCCTGGTCACCAGTCAACAAAATTTCAAGATCCTAAGCAGACAGGTGGATGGTAGCCTAGCAGAGTTAGAGAAATCTATAACTCATCTTGAATCTTCACTAGACTCTTTGCCTGAGGTAGCCCTACAAAATCAAAGGGGCTTAGATCTTCTATTTCTAGAACAAGGAGGGTTATGCATGGCCTTGGGAGAAACTTGCTGTTTCTATGCTAACCACTCAGGTGTGTGATTAGGAACAGTGTAGCACTGGTTTGAAAACAATTGAGAAAAAGAGAACAACAAAGAGAAAGTGGAGATAATTGGTATCAAAACTTCTTCTCATGGTCACCTTGGCTAACAACACTTATCTCAGCAATTGTTGGAGCCCTGACCATCATTCTTATAGGACTTTTTATAGGACCATGCTTCCTAAATTATCTCTCAAAGTATATTACCAGCAGGTTAAATGCAGTCGAATTATTAATGCTCTGAACTCACTACCAACAGCTAAGTCAGGAGGAAAGAGAAGGGCCATGCCAGGTGTTGGGTCAGCAAGGCAAGTCAATAGTTTGACTCCTGAGTAAAACCAGTGGGGAATGTGACAGCATGTCTTTAAGTTTAAGGTTTTCTCATGGGACATAGCCTGCCCAAGTGGTTATAGGTTATCTTGGTTGGTTGTTTCAGAGCAGGGACTGTTCCTCTGAAAGAAACAAGTTATAGATATCAGTCTGCTCTTCCAGCTGTAACCAGCATATTTCTGGCTTCTGTATTTCTGCTTGCTTGCTTGATAATGGTCAAGACCACTAAAATGTAGTTGCTGCCTTTAACAACCCCCCCACCACTAAAACTCTGGGCTACCTTCTCCAGACTTGCTCTGTGAGAGGGCAATCGCCAGCTGGCTAATAAAGACTCCTAATTTACTTCAGAGGTCTCACTATGTTTTAATCCGTGTACCCACAACAATGCAGCTTAACTCTCACATACTTAAATAAAATTTAATGAGGTTTGCAATGTATTGTTTAGTTCTTGTTTATTTGG